AAACAGAAAACTAGTTGGCAGAGGACAGTGCGGATGGCTTTCTTAGAAGGGTTACCGGTCATTAATATTCATTGGTGAGAGCCACTGGTTTGTAGTCAAGTAGCCATCAATTCTGCATTTCTGGGAAATCACAGATTTTCTCACTCTGTTTTCCTGCACCCCCTCTACATCTCTCTCACTGAATTCTCAGTATTTTGCTCTGTCATCAGACTACCCCTCCTTTCCAGTAAAAGCATTACCTAGAAGGCTCATTATGTCTTCCTGCAGTAGCATTTCTGCTGATGAGTATTAGTGTTCTGGTGTATTCTTTTTAAAAAATATGTTTTTATTGATTTTTTGAGAAAGGAAGGGAGAGAGATGGATAGAAACATCGATGAGATGAGAGAAAAACATCATCAGTCCTACTGGGGATCAAGCCCTCAACCCAGGCATGTGCCCTGACCAGCTGTGACCTCCTGGTTCCTAGGTTGACTCTCAATCGCTGAGCCACACCGAGCTCTGGTATATTCTTTAATGCAATTTCTCTCCTCAGAAATTTTTTTAGATGTGCCCTTTAGATCTTCCCAGGAAAGAAGAAAGAGAAGCAAAGAATGAAACTTACTTTCTGCTCGGTCCTCCTCACTGTCCCTCCCACTTGCAGTTCCAGTGTCTTACTTACACTGCCCTTACTGGAGGCACACACTTAGGTGGTGTGAATCTCACCCTAGGAATCGCATCGAACGCCATGGCGATGTGTTTGGACAGGGACGACTTAACCTGAGGGCTTCCCAAGGCTGGTCAGGGTTTCAGAGACTGTGTGAAATGATACGCAAAATTGTGTGCCTCTGAGCAGCTTTTCATGTTGTAGAAAACACTGAAACAGGCAATGAAGCCATCCCTGATGCCATGAGTCCAAGAATCAACTTGCTGTTTTGGTGTTTAACCTTCTAGGCTTTGCTTCCAAAAAACATATATAGTCTGTTATATTTTTACTTTTTTTTAATATATAAATTGTGTTACTGCCATTCTAAAACCTCACCCAAGAATAACATTTGCCATTTAGTTATAGGAGCGCATGTTCAATAGCATAGTTTATGGCCTTGACATTTAAAAGGAACGAGATTTCCTCCTCCTCGTGTTAATTGGTCAGATCCCATCACTGGCAGAGAGTGTGCCATTTGTTCCGCCAAAGGGACGCCTTTTTCACGGGGACCTCCGCTCCCAGGCTTTTCTCACTGAGACTCACGCTGTGAAGGCCCCCTTCCCGGGGAAAGTTTCCTGGGATCCCTTTGAAGCCGCATTTGCCACCTTCCAGGCTCTCAGAGCTGCTGCAGATGGTGCCATCCAGGAGCCCTTTCTTCTGCCTGCTCTCAGCACCCCCACCCCTCTCCCCAGGGAGCAGAGGCGCCCATTAAAACAAGGGCCTTTCCTCCTCACACCCTCCTATGGAATACGGTTCACACAGCCCACGCTTCGCACTGGGAACGGAAGTGCGCCTCTGTCCTTAGGAACCACCGCTTGTGCCCGGTGGGCTGTGCTGCGCCTGTCCAGCCAGGCTGGCGGCCTGCAGTCCCTCCAGCCCGATCAGAGCCATGTGCTGAGATGTCCCGGTCTCAGAGGACTCTGCTGAACGGTAACCGTTTTGAGTTTTCCACTAGGTCTCCCACTGTTTCAGGCCATCTGAATAGTTTGGGCTAAAAGGAATGGTACCTTGTGTCAGGAGCTTTGCTCCAGCATTCAATAGATTTTAAGATTTAATGATATATGGACCTAAAACAAATCATTGTTGTTGCTGCTGCTGCTGTTGTTTTAAAGCTGTTAAGTAGAATCCCTTTATTTTTCGCTTTTTAAGTGCTGATTTGTGCTCCTGTTAAAGGTGTGGCTCTGTTAAAATGAAGGTTTTCAACAACTAGCTAGCAAACAGGAGCAAATGCCTCTTTAAATTAAATAAGTTTGTTGTTATTGTAAAATACAACTGGTGTCAGTGGAGCTGGGCCATTGGAGTGATGTTCCTGGATGTTCCCTAAGCTGTGCCCTGGACTGACTGTCCCCTGGTCTGTTCCTGGTCTGTTCCCTGGTCTATTCCTGATCTGTTCCCTGGTCTGTTCCATAAACTGAATGTTCCCTAGAGGTTCGCTGGTCCGTTCCCTGAACTCCCTGGACTGACTGCCTCACAGGAGACAGACCCTCAGCATCACCCCTCTAGGCTTCAGACTGGTTGGTTTCATGCAGTTAATGGAAGGGCCATTAATTAATGGTTATTTTTAAATTAACGTGTCATTGTCTCAGCAAGATGTGAATGTGGTGTTCCAGATAAAGAATTCTGATTAAGGCTACATTCTGCCTCAACTAGTCCCCGGAACCCTGCCCTTCCTTGTCCCACAGAAGTGTCCCCACTACTAGTGCAGCACGCTGGGGGGGGGGGAGGGGGGGGTCATGGACGGCGACCCTGTGCCTGTGCCTGTGTGTGGATGTGGTCAGCACTGCCCTGCTGCTCCCCCAACCCCTGCCTCAGGCCCCCGCCAGCTGCAGCCAGCTGCCCTCCCTCCACGTCACGTTTTGGAAACCATCCGTGGTGTTGCCCTCAGAGATGGTGCGTGTCTTCTGACCTCGCTTACTGCATTACGGTTGGCTGGCCCACGGCTCCCGGGTCCTTTGTACCGGCCGTGAGCACCTGCTGCAGATCGCTGACCGGCAGTTTCTCTGTGAGGGAGATGGACATGCCTTTGTCTATGTGTGCAGATCTAGAGGCAGGACATTACGGTGGCTGTCGTCATGAACGGTGGCAGAGTGAGGGCTGAGGCCCTGTGCCCGGCTCCTCTGACCCAGCCGAAGAGGTCTTATACATGTTTTGTGGGGTCATGGGGACCCTGGGGAAGGCCAAGTCTAGTTAACTGGTGAAACCCGTTCATTCCAGTCCACTGAGAGGGTTAGCCTGAATCAGGGGAAAATCTTAACTTTGACAAGTAACATCAGGTCATTTTGAAGTCTACACAGTGACCCACACTAATATAACTTGATAAAATTCATTAAGGGGATCATATTCATGAGCAAATAAAAGCACCTAGTGATTATTTTCAAGAATAATGACATATCTAAATCGCCCAACGTTATTCGCATCCCTAGGTAAAATATTTCCCCTGGAACATTCTTTCTACTTTACAAGCTAGGCAAGTGATTTTGCCTTGTTCAAGTAAGATAAGCAGAACCACTTCCTTCCTGAATGTGTCAAGGAGCAAAGGAAGAGGAAAGGGGAGGACATTTGAGGGCCGCCCCTTAGCGAGCACAAGGCTTTGAAACCTCTGGTCCATGGCCGTCTTGAGTGTGGCCGTCTTGTGAGGCGAGCCTTCTCTCCATTCATAGACTGAGAAGCTGAGGCTCTGGGGCTCTAACGCAGCTCCCTGAGAGTGTCCTCTGATTCTCCCTGGCCAGAACAGTAGCACTCTTCGCAGTGTAGTTCCTTAGATGTGGTCCTCAGACCCCTGCAGCAGAATCTCCTGGAATATTTGTTCATATGCAGATTCCTAGGCCCCTGCCAGGCAGGGCCTGGGACTTGCATTTTTAACAAGTGGCCCGCGGCTCCTCAGCACCCTGGAGTCTGAGAGCCACTCTCCCCACCACGGTGACCCCGTTTTGGTGATGTGATGAGCTCTGCCACGGAGCGCCTCGGGGCTGAGGACGGGGTCCTCTCAGCCCTGACTGCAGGGGGCAGTCCGGTGCTCCCGGAGTCTCACCCCTTCCACGGCCCTGGTCACTGGCACCGAGCCTGGTACGGCGCGTGGGTTGACGAGTCACTTCCACGGGAATACTACGTGGGCATCCTTGTCTCTAAAATGCTGGCATTTCCCAGGCAGAATCACCAGAACCCAGTGTGCCTTTGGTGTCTAATGCAGACAGAATCTGCATTTTGCCTTCTACCCCTTGCTGAAACCAGAAAAAAAAATTTTTTTTTTTTAAAGAGAGAGGGCTACTTGCAGAAATGATTACCTTGGAAACACTGTTAGATGCTTGCTTCACTCTTTCTTTCCAGCCCTTTCTGTGCTCTCCTGGAGCACATGCGCCCTCCACCCCCTCTGACTTGCCTAGAGGTGGGGAGATGAAGGTGCCTTCCTCCCAGCTGTCTCACCCCCACCAAGGACTGGGCTGGGCGGGAAGAGACAGCAGGCCCATTGACTGTGTCTTCTTGGTTCCTCTGCCTTCCTCTTTCTCCATGGCTCGCTCTCCCTCAGCTCTGTGAACCTTCTCTCATTCCCCAGTGACCTCCCTCCCCGCTGAGTCCCTCCCAGCAGGCTGAGTAGGGGTTTGCTGGGGTGACTGACACATGGAGGGGTGTGTCCAGGGGTCCCAGACCAACTTGCATTTGTTTTCTGTGCTGGCAGAGCATCTGTCTTTGTTTTGGTGTTCTGCTCATCCAAATAAAGAAGGCATTCCTCTCCTGACAGACAGAGGCAAAAAAAAAAGAAAGAAAGAAAGAAAGAAAGAAAGAGAGAGAGAGAGAGAGAGAGAAAGGAAGAAAAAACACCCCTCCAAAAAGAAAAAAGAAAAAATTAAATTTTAACCATGTACTCCAGTGAAATTCAATCTATACCCCATCCTCTGTCCTGATTGGCCCGCTTAAATTGACAAGTGGATCGGGTAGAAGGGAAATATCCGGGACGGGAAATATCCGGGACTTAATTGTAAGTTAAGTCCGTCTTAATCCAGAAGAGCATTTCAGATTCTGTCCAAGTGCTCCATTTCCCAGGCCGCGGAGGTCTGTGGATTTCTTTTCCCAGCCTCCAGGCTGCTGCAGTACAAGTCAGCATAGCTAATGCAGATAGATCTGCCGCTGCTGCCTCCTCCCTCCGCTTTGATTCGATATGAACAGCCTGGTAACTCCGGTGCCGGGGAGAAATCTGACATAACTCTGCAGATGGCTGGGTTGCCATGAAGCGCCCGGGGGTTGTTCTTTAAGGAAAAGGTAACGTTTATGTGCTAATGATTTCTCCCCCCTCCCCTCCCTGTTGATTTTTTTTTTCCAGGGCTGCCAGTTCCCAAGAAGAGCCCCAAGTCGGTAAGGACTTGCCCGTTACTCTGAGCTTATTTGGGGGGCGGGGGGTGGTGGTGGGAGGGGACGCTGTCTGACTTCACTAAATGTGCTGTGGAGTGGAGGGGGGACCGGAGCCCGGCTCCCCATCGGAAGTTCTGGGGATCTGTGTGGTATAGAAGGTACGGGGGTTTGTCTCTTAACTGCCTGGTGATTTGTGGGCTGGCAGCGGGAGCCGGGCGAAGGAAGCAGGGCTGGGATTTTTTCCTCTATACGAATGCATCCCAGCCCTCTTTCAGACGGGTGACTTTTCCTTAGATGTTTTAACTCGAGACAAATGCTATTGTTTCTTTTGGGGAGGAGAATTAAAAAAGGAGGCTCCACCTGCTTCCCCGTTAGCCTGCTCTCAACTGGTGTTCGCAGCTGTTCACGTGGGCACGCTCTCCCCGGGGCTTTCCTAGGCACCAGTGATGAATGATTTACCAAATTAAAAAGCCTGTGGGTTTAAGGAAGAGCCACCCTGCCCTGTCTGCACGCCCGTGCTCACAGGGAAGGATGTTCCCGGCCCCAGCACGGAGGACAGACATTTCCTTGCTGTGGAGACGTCCTTTGTTGTTTTGCTGGCTTTCGCAGCATTATGCTGCAGGTATGGGATTCTTAAGGAAAAAAAAAAAAAATCAATGTGCTGCTGTCCTTTCCAGTCTGGTTTCCCTGAAGATGCATTACCTGGTGGACGAGTTAGGAATAGCTGGAGGCGGTAGTGTTGTGATTGGTGGTATGAGCCTCTGCCCCTGGGAGGCCGACAGACAACAAATTAGCATGCTAGGAACGAAGTCCGAATCCGGACCGCACGCCTGTGAAATTGATCCGAGAGGCTCCCCAATCCATTGCCGATGGGATCCCGAGGAGCCATTTCCATGGGGCTTAGGACATCTGGGGGAGGGACACCTTACAGCTCTCTGGCACCTGGGACCGGAGAACCTTAAAACTTCGCAGCACCTGGCGCTGCAGCTGGATTCCTCCCGCCGCCGCCTGCAGCCTGGCGGCAGGAGGCAGGAGCTCGCTGAGGAGCTGAGAGAGGGGCTTTCTGCATCTCAAAGCCCCACTTCCAACTGCTCCAAATCCTGGGAGATGCTCCCGAGGATGACCTAGGGATGATTGATAATTGATGTGATTGCAATAATTGATGTGATTGCAATGGCTTTGTCCCGTGAAGCTGGGCACCTGTGACTTCAGGGCTGCTTCCCTTGTCAGTTTGTGTTAATGTCCAGGCACAAAAGTGCCCGCCAAGATGCCAGAGCCAGCGTGTGTGTGTGTGTGTGTGTGTGTGTGCATGTGTGTACACATGTGTACACATACGCATGCATATGTGTCTCCTCATTCCTGGGTCGTAGTCAGAAACCTGTGCAGTCTGCAGCAGAACGGAAGCAAATCTGGAAGAGGTGTCACCCGAGCTTGAGTCAGCGGAGCCGTCCTCTTCTCCCCCACCGGAGCCATGCTGCACGGTGGACTTTTTCACACCCACACGGAGTGAAGTCCTGACAGGGAGCTCCCCGGGGGAGGCGCATCGGTTCTGCCCAGGCAGCAGGACCGGGGGCGGAGTGCAGACTTCACCGTGCAAGAGGCTCCCTCGCGGGTCTCTGCTCCCCCAAGGGCTTTGGAATTCCCTGCTGCATGGAGGGCACCGGGCAGCTCTGGAGCCTGCATGCACCGAGGCAGTTGAAAGACTTCCCTGCGACAGTTTATTTTTGCAGAAGCTGTGTCATTAGCAAGCAGCAGGCCAATTACTCAGGCTGCATTCCCAGGAAGAAAGAGCTCTTAACTGCTTTGCCCACAGTCTGCCGGCTCTTAATTACACAAGCCAGGAGACCGAGTGCGGCTGGTTAGAGGGGAGCGAGCCCCCGCGTGGGGCTTGTCCCCCCCGATGCCTGTGCCCCGACGGGGCTGTGGTTCTCACAGCGTGCTGGCACCCTGGCAGCTGCTGTTCAGGGTCGGGGGGCCATCGCCGGGGTCTGCTGCCGCCAGTGGTGCGGCACGAACACGTCATCGGCGGGTGCTCTGCACAGGTGGGCGGAAAGCTGTTTCCCTCTCCCGGTTTGAATTTCAGGCTGTCTTGCCAGAGACAGGTGATTGTGGGGTTTTCCTGGTGAGGTTGGAGGGCACCCCTGGGGTGCTGCCTGCCGTGTTCGGAAAGCCAGTCCCCTGTGGCAGGCAGGGCTGGGGAGGCAGCTGTGGGGTGAGACGCTGGGTTGTGGTACGCTTGGATTTCCCATCAGCCCTGCCATGGCCTGTCTTAACCCAGTCCTCTTTTCTTAAAAGTTCCTGGCATGGTTGGCTTGTTCATGTGACTGACCGCTTCTCCTTGCCCTCCTGCCTTTTTAAAAACAATAATGTTCTCAATAATTGAGTGGTTGGGTTTTTATGAGGATGGAGGGACTTATCTTTCTGGTCCTGTTTCCCATCCTGGATGGTCTCCATAGCTTACTCCTAATCAGCAATGCCACCCGTGAGCTTAAATGCTAACTTTATGGTTCATCTGTGCGCTGGAGACAGTGGCAGCATCTTGACGGAATCTCATTGATTGAATGCCGGGACGTCCATAACATCAGAAATGTTTCTGCCGAGTGCCAGGAACAAAAATAAGACCTGCTTGCGGTCAGGTTTTAGACCGCTCTGGGAAACTGGTTCCAGCCCAGTGTGGTCGCCCTGACTGGAAACACATTCAACTGGGACAGTTGGTCTAGATCACACACAAGGATTTCGAATTTAAAACTCTACATATCCTGCCAAATCCTGAATTTTAAGTTAATGTCCATTTAGGTTTTCTCGCTTGTTCATTTCTCGCTGTGCTTCTGTTTCTCCCTTCCTTCGTGGGTCCATCTGATCATTTGTTCATCTGTCCACCCGCCATCTACCCATTTATCCACCGGTACATTTGCCCTTTCATTAGCCCATCGCCCATTTGTCTGGGTGGAGGCCTGAGAGCCGGTTTGTGCGGCCCTGGGCACGCTGTGATAAGGAAGATGTCGTGGCGCCTGTCTTTTGGAGCTCACAAGCACCCAGTTTATTGATTGCTACTTTCAAAAGGCAGACTCGCTGTCACAAATCACCAGAACTGTGTAATGTGCCTGTTCCAGCAGTGAGAGTTAGCTGGGTGTCTTCCATGTCAGACCAGGGCCTGGTACCCCAGGACTGCACCCAAAGACGCTCCTGCCTCATGCAGCCAGGAGAGACCCCCAGCAGGCAGCTCTGCATCCTCCTCGGGGGGCGTACCGTCTGAGGAACATACACTCTCCAGAGCTAACCACGGCAAGCCAGTACACACTCAGTGCGAACCAGTCCGCTTTACATTACATAATCTGTGCAGCAGTAGGACAACACCATAAAAGCAGGCTCTGTTGAGCTGGGTGCCACGATGGAGCTGAGGAGCACCTCCGGGTTGCCTAGCAGCCTGGGCGACATAGGAAACCCCACCCCCTATGTCCTGGGTCAGGCGGAAGCAGGCTGCAGGGGGCACAGTGCTCCCAGGTACTAATCACTCCTCACACACGGCCTCCCCAAGGGGACACTGAGTGATGGGCCGAGGAGTCTCCTCCAAACGCCCAGGACAGAAGGCAGCACCGCTGACCGGTTTTTGTTCCGTGGTCTGCCATTCCTGTCCCCTGGATGGGACCCTGAGGACACGCTGACCACTAGTCATTAAGAGATGTGAGCACCCTGATTCTTTTGGCTCAGTAGATAGAGCATTGGCCTGTGGACTGAAGGGTCCCAGGTTCGATTCCAATCAAGGGCATGGGCCTTGGTTGTGGGCACATCCCTGGCTCATCGATGTTTCTAACTATTCCTCTCCCTCCCTCTCTATTTAAAAAAAAGATGAGAGGGAGAGGTCTCAGAGAAGATACACAGTGAGGGACCCAGACCATCAGTTGTTTTGTTGTTGTTGTTGTTGTCATTTGTTTGTTTTTTAAATATATTTTACTGATTTTTTTACAGAGAGGAAGAGAGAGGGATAGATAGTTAGAAACATCAATGAGAGAAACATTGATCAGCTGCCTCCTGCACACCCCCCACTGGAGATGTGCCCGCAATAAAGGTACATGCCCTTCACCAGAATCGAACCTGGGACCTTTCAGTCTGCAGACCGATGCTCTATCCACTGAGCAAGACCATCAGTTTTATGTGTCCTGCCTCTTTCTGAAACTCCTGGGGTCACAGGACCCCGATACTGCCGATCCTTCAACCAGGGCAGTGCTAAAGCCGGCAGAGCCCCCGCAGCTGCAGGGAGAGGAGCCTCGGGGGGAAGGACCGGGGTGACTCAGACACAGACACGCTCCTCGCCCTCTCACTTCCCACAGCCACTCGGACCCTCGCCCCTTAGGAGCCCTAACTGTGAATCAGAATTCATCTCCATGGCCAGTCGTTAACTCCCTTTCTTCTCCGTTAACTCCTCTTGCCTGCCTTTTTGGAAGAACCATTTGCCTTTGGCCCACAAATGACCAAAGAGAGAGCCGAGAGGAGGAGCATCTTCTGCCGCCACCGCCCATGAGGCTGCCCCGGGCCCGCAGCGCCCGGTCCTGCTGTCCATGGAGGGCCTCCGGTCTTGGCAGGCGCGTGAACTGTAAATAATTTTGCTTTAAAATGGATCGATTGGTCAGTTTTAAGCCACAGGAATTCTTTTCATCATTAAAGCGCCTAAGTGCTGTCTGTTATTCATTTGCTCTTCCAAGCAAATGTTTCCAGCTCACTTTATAAGTAACTTCATGTTGAAAGGATCCGGTGAAAGACGGGTGCACTGGGTTTTTCCCCATTCCATTTACAAAAACCAGAGCATCCCTCCATCTCCCTGGCCTGTCGCTGTAAGGAAGCCATTCATTCTAGGGAAGTGGGTAAGGTTTAATTTTGAAAAGGCTTATGGCCCAGGCTAGTGTGAGGCCAAGGACTTCTATGGCGTTTTCAAAATTAAGCCCATTTTTTTTTCTTCCTAGTCAGTTCTGATTTGATATTCAGAAATATAAAAATCTTGATTC